AACTTGATTTTAGTCGAACTACTCAACTAACTTGATTTTAGTCGAACTATTAATTTCACTGTTTAAGAAACAACAAAAAAAGACGTGGATATTAAACTCATACACGTGTTGACTAAAAACAGCGTTGACAGTAGTATGAAGACATTCAACCTGTTTGAAGTTATCGCATATACAGTTGCGTAAAATGTAAAAAAAATAAAGAAGAAATAAATTATTGTTATTTACCTTAGGTATCAGGTGGATGTATTGTTTAATGATCATTATGAAATAGCCAATCAAAACAATTAATAATAATAATAATAATAATAATAATAATAATAATAATAATAATAAACGGAGACTTATAAAGAGGATGTGAAAGAAATTAGCAGACTGTGTCATCTCAAAACAATCACAGTACCGTTAACTGGAGCACTAGAGGTGACGTCGAAAGATCCAAACGAACATTTTACAAATTCCCGCCAGTATCTCATTCACGTATGCCTCAAACATCTTAAACATATTTCTCCCGAATTTACGAATTGTATTTCAAACGTTATTGGAGCTGTATAACGATATATAATTTTTTTTATTATATCAAGAACAGTTTTCTTAGAAAAAACTATAGCAAAGTGTTAAAAGTTTTCGCGTGACGCGTTTCGTTCTTTAAGACTTCATTACACGAAGCTTATGTTTATTTTGATGCAACTACGCATGCGCACGAACGAGAGACGCCGGTAATTAAATTTAAAATTCCCAGCACCTCTCGTTCGTGCTCGTGTCTAGTCGCATCAACGTAAAAAACTTCGTTCGATGATGTCCCAAATGTTGAAACAAGTCACACAAAAACGTTTCAAATTTGTAATACTTTTTTCCATATATATATATATATATATATATATATATATATATATATATATATATATATATATATATATTATATTTATATTTATTTATATATATATCATTAAATATATATTTTTATTATTTATTTAAATATTCATATACTTACGCCCGAAGTGCAATTTAAAGTTTCGTTTTTCTACCAACTCATCAGGCACGAATTCTTCGAACGTAGGTATGTGTATATTTATTATATGCTTCTTACCTCTGTCTGACCACATTGAGCACTGTTTTGTTTTACACCTTATATTAAATTGAGTAAATATTTATTCGCTTACCTGCGTGAGCATGGTAACGCACGTATATACGGTTGCTAGTATCTAGATATTTGGTTTCTCCACATTTTATACACACACACACACACACAGAGACATATATATATATTTATATATAGGTATTAATTTATTATTTTTTAAGCCATTTCACCCCAAGCCATGAAGTAAAGCGAGGGGTAGGAATACTGAGCGCGTACATTATTATTATTATTATTGAATATAGGATAAAACACTTCAAGAAAATAAATTAAAATTTATCACCATCGACATAATTATTATTATTATTATTATTAATGCTACTTGAAGAGATTCTTGGATGACAGTCAGCAAAATCTAATAAGGATATTGTGTTACGTGCTTCTGAAGTATTTAGGAGTCTTGTTGTCACTTGTTCTCTGACAATTGTCACCAGTTTCTGCTGAAACCCCCAGGAGTACATGCAAGAATAAGTGACAAAAAATCCAGACGACTGCATTAATTTTAATCGGTAATGATAGTGTGGTGCTTGCCGCTGGCATAGTGAGTATACTTGTTGTCACTTGATCTCGATCGAATGAAACTACATATTTTTTGCACGGTAAACCAGAATTACCTAACAATTAACAGTATACAGTGACAAGCAAAAATAAAAAATGTCTTTTTAATTCTAAAAAAAAAAAAATTATCTGTTTTCCCGCTTGAAAGAAAACAAAGGATTTTTTTTTATTATAGAAACGAACTTTTCCAAGAAAAGATAATTGTTTTCACATTACCATCGATTAAGTCCTCTAAGGCAGAAAAATATATAAACTTTTTTGTTTCTTTTTTACATTTAAGGGCTTTCAGTTTCTAATGTAAAATGTAAATTCACTGTAAGCGCTAACAAAAAAGTAAATAAATAAAAATAAGAAGAAATAATTAAAAATAAAGGCAAAAGGTAAGTAAGAATTGGCTTTTTAAATTCATATTTCTTCATTGTTTGGAAATTATGTGAACTTTTGTATGTAAGCCAAATTTTAACACAACACAGGAAAAGGTAAGTAAATAATATAAATTAAATATGAACATTTTGTTTTTACTATGTAATTATTTGATATCATAAGAAGATGGGCGGTAATAAAATCACAAAATAAGTCACAATTTTGGCTAAAAGAAAAAAAAAAAAAAAAAAAAATCTCACAATGAATTTATGGCACCCAGTAATAAAATCATCTATTTCTGTCGAGTATTTCACGAATTTATGAGTCCGCTCTGTTTGTACGACCAAAAACTTTCTAAAAAAAAAGAAGAGCATAGCATAATGAAAAAGGCCCCAGAAAAAAAAGAAGTTTTCTTGTCAAAATGTTTGTGTTATTATCAAGAGGTAAGACCAAATAATTTTTAATAATTTAATTCATTTTTTTATATCCTTTCTAGATTGTTCGAAATTTGGGTAGAATCTTGTTTTTCTTGCGTCAGTGGGTTGGCCAATTATAGTACAGTGTAACCCGGATATAAGAGACCCTGATATAAGAGAAACCTGGATATAAGACAGATTTTCTCCGGTCCCAAATTAGAGCCTGTGTTAATGTATATAAAATAGACCAAACCCGGATATAAGAGAAACCCGGATATAAGATAATTCTTCTCCGGTCCCGACAACTCTCTTATATCCGGGTTACACTGTATAAGAATTTTTAGGGTCTTTTTTGCCGTTTAAAATATATTGTTTTGGAAACTCTTCTAAAAATTAGATTATTGTCGGATTTTAATTAAATTTTCAGGGATTATTCACAAATGAATTGTATTATTTTTTAAATTTGCTTTTTAGAAAATCTTGGTAAAAATATTACTTATTGCTTACTTAATTTTATGAAATTACAAAAAATTGAAATTTCAGCCTATTCATATATAAAGATTATTTAAAGCCAGGAATATTGGAGAATTTAAATCATTAATTTGTTCTTGTTAAACCGATTCATCATTTACCGAAAGTCTGCTCTTATCGTAAATAAAAAGAAACAATGAAACTTTGACATTAATTAGACAAGCTTTTAATTACTTTTATAAATTATATATATTAAGGACACTATTATCTTAAGAAAATAATTCAATGAATAATGCATTTATACAAGAATTGTTTTCATTCTTTTTTAAATTTAATTAGAAAAATTTATTGTTTGAAATCTTATAAAATTCTTTTAGATTATATTATTAAGTGAAAATTATATTTACTATTCATAAATGGAAAAGCTTAACACAAATCATCAAACACCAATGTTTTTTAGAGGAATTCTGATTTTTTTTGTATAAACGTGTCTATTTTTGTAAGTACGGTCTAGCATACACGACATTATCAGAAAATAAGAGCACCATCTATATAGAAAATTTAAAGCCAACATTTCTAAAATTCAGTAAAACATTACATTATAGAAAATATCTTCCTAAATTTTTAAGATTACTGAATATTTAAAAAATTATAAAAAAATGTGCTTGCGTCATTTTTCTCAATTATGATTTACAGATAAAATCTCCGTGGTAGAAATTGATATGTCAACAGACTGTCAACCTGTAAAAACAGCAACTGTCGAGTTAAAAAAATGCATTTCTGTGATATTTTACACTGAAAGTAAATAATATTTGTTTCAAATCAGATCAAGTATACTTTAATCAGCTAATATTTTTCAAATAAAATTACAGAAAAGTATATTTTATTTTTGGAAGATTTTTTTATTACAGAGAATTATATTGTCATGAAAAAAAAAAAAAAAGCGCTAATCGGCTTCTTTAAAAAAAAAAAAAAAACTCCATCCATTCAATTTAAATTATTTTTTGAAAGTGTTTTGCTTAGAAATATTAAACTTATTAGCTTGAAATTAAAACTAAAATGAAAGTTTTAGGAAAGATTTTTCATTTTAAAAATTAATTTTTAACGTTAATTATCGCGTTTATTTTTGTTTTTTTGTTTTTTTTGTGAAGATCCTGCATTTTGTTTTTTCTCCTAGTTTTTGCACTGTCAACCATTTAAATTTATTAGGTAGGTAGGTTGTTTCATTTCTTCTGCATCACTTGCCTTCGGTATGTCCTGTCGATGTTAAATTCTTCAAGACATCTCTCCTCATCACGCGACTTAGACATTTCAGTTGTCTTGGATTCCAAATATTTCTTTTTGTTCGCACTACATTGTTTTTTTTTTAATATCGAATCTGCTATACAAAAACACGAACATATTAATGAAAAAAGTTGCTTTGGGGATTGATTATGACATTATTGTTTAACAAATTAGCACTGAAGCATCGGTTTTCAAAAATAAAATTAACTTCTTTTAGAAATGGTTACTTTTTAAGGTTTGGTTTGTTTTGTCTTACGGCATATAAACCTGAATGGGTCATTTAATGCCGACAACAATTTTTTTTCCTGGTAATATATTTGTTTTGTCAAAAATCTATTTCTGTTGAATTTTTTTTCCTCAAAAACGTATAGCTGGCAACACTGTTTTTTGAAAAACGTATAGCTGGCAACAATATTTTTTTCAAAAACGTACAGCTGGCAACGTTATTTTTTTTCAAAAGCGTATTGTCAGAGGCCTTGCTGTTGGACGTAGTTTATCGTCATACCCAGGACGCGGATGTAGTTTATCTTGCTCAGGACGGCTACTTTTGAAAGTTAAATTTAAATTAAAAACATTTTAATTAGGGTCTTTAATTTATAGAAATTATTCTTGTTCTGAAAAAAAAAATCATCGTTTATTGTCGTAAAGAGAAGATGTAAATAAAATACAAATATTTTAATTGACACTAAAAATATGTTAAACTTATTAACGATGTAAAATACTGGAATCATTACTTGTCTGTTAGATTCTATCTATATCTTGTTTTCCGTCAGTTTCTATCTCTTTCTCCCTCTCTCTCTCTCTCTCTCTTGATTTCATGTTCTATGTCCGATTCTTTCTTTCTTTCTTTTTTTCTTTCTTTCTTTTTTTCTTTCTTTTTTTCTTTCTTTTTTTCTTTCTTTCTTTTTTTCTTTCTTTCTTTCTTTCTTTCTTTCTGAGTCAGATTTTATCGATCTATATATTTAGTTAGACAATTATACGTGGTGCAATAGTTTGCAAGCTTATATCGTTAGATAAATTACAACTCCGTAGTGAGTTTGATCTTCACTGAGTGCTCCATATTTTCAGCATTGTGCCTACGTAAGTCACTATATTGTATTTAAGTGATTATAATATACAATAGTCAATGCGACCAGAAATAATTAGTTTTTCATATTATAAGCGCCCTAGATCGCGAATAAAAATTATAGTTTAAAAATTATATTAAATTAATAAAAATTAATTAGGGTTCACATTTTTATATAAATTCATTGTAAAATGTGACGAAATGCGTTTAAGTTGCACAATGGTACATAAACAATGCATGAGCTGTTGCTGAAAGGCGACCTGTATCCACAATGTGACCTTCTCATGTGTATAAATGTCTATATAAATTACCGCTAGAAATCAACAACCTTTCTGAGAGGCTAAGAAAAATGAAATCTGATGCGTTTAACATGTCTGCTTTTTATATATTCATCACAAGATTTGATTCTGAAAGGGAGTTCTTAGGATGTTGTTAAGCTGCTCCGTACATAAAAAAAAATAGATTTTTTTTTTATTTATATATTTAATTTAAAAAAAATAGTTAAATATATTTACAAATATCGCTCTTTGCTAAGGTAATGACCTATATATTTATTTATATAATTTATTTTGCGCCAATTAGGTTATTCTTGACTAAAACTGAAGAAGTAACACAAAACAGATCCTGAAATCGGCCCACCGCTCCCCTTTTACCGCATGTACCAAGTTCCTGTTTCAGCATCTATTTATAAAACTAATAAAAAGCTAATAAATTTCGACAGCAGTTGTTTCGTTAGCTTATCCTTTCATTTGTGAATGCAGCAGATTCGAATTTATTACGCTGTACACTAGTGTTCTAAATAACTTTTCATACAGAAAGACGTGAATAAGGGGTGGGGGGATTCCACGAAAATATATGACAGTTTCATTTTTTCTTTTTCCAAGAATATTACGAATATGTACCAAGTAGCAACAATTTCAAATGCTGTTTACAAAGCCAAAGAAAAGACCCAGGATAGACAGTAAGGATCTATCTTTTTTAGGTTGCCTCACCCTAATGCTATGGTTATAAAATTTGACCCACATAAAATATCTCTGATGATTGCGATCCTCACTGGGTACTAAAAATCGACACATATGTTTATGCCAGCCGAACCTTAGCTTATCGAAACTCCTACTACTATCACTACTGCTACAATAATCGAAAAACCTCTTCGGCATAAGATCAGATATAACGGAGTATTCACTATTTAGAAATTATGTTCAACCAGAAAGCTAGCAAAACCATTATCCCAAATTATTTATTTGCGACTTTAGTACGGCTTGCTTTTTTTCCCTTTATCTTTTGATGGGGTAGATTTTATAAGCCCTCCACAACTTCCTGTTCTTTGTTGATCGAAGTAACTTTTAACAACCATCATTGGTCTTATCCTGCCAATCATTCATTTAAACATGTTAATACGTTTACTGACAGTGACCCCGATCACCGAAGTTAAGCATCGTAGAGCCAGGTCAGTACTTAGATGGGGGACCGCTTGGGAACACCTGGTACTGTAAGCCTCCAAAGTCCAACCAGTCGGTGGGTGGGGGTGTAAACGGTAGTGTCAGAGCTATGCCGCCCGGAACTTCGTTCCTTGTAGGGCCACCCAAGGCGGACAGGTCTGACACCCACGCCGGCTAACAAGGGCTTTGGTGAAAATCCAAGGAGCGTCTGCTGGTCGTTCCTGTCTCTGCGTCTGTGGGAACCCCGCGGCAAGCAAGAACGTTATCCGAGTAGGCCTGGGTACCCTACTTCTGTAATTTATCCCAAGAATATTCTTCTCACAACAGGAAGAAGCCGGCTCAATCCGCCCAGGGTGAATGCCGCATCAATACAAAAAAAAAATACCCCGACCAGTACTACTGTCTCAAGTTTGATCGCCACTGGCTATCGTGGATCAGATTAAAATAAGTGGATCTAGGGGAGAGAACTACCGTAGAGAAAACAGCAGAAAAGGAACAGAGAGGGAAAAGACGGCTGATGGGAGATGAATGGTGGAGTCTTCCGCGACAAGACGATTGATCAAGACTCCAGAGGTGGTGAGCAGACTGTAAAAACTGCTTAGGGAAGCAATACTTTAGTTGCAGTTTGTGATTAAAATTACATGCTTTAAATATATCCACCTCTATTTTTTTTCTTTTAGTTTTCGATAGACATTACTGACTTTTCGACGTGATGCTCTTACAGAAAGTGGAATTTTACCGGCTGCTCTGAATAGACTAAATATATTTTTTGTGTATATTACATCCTTTTAGCATTCTGTAATTTTATTGACAAAGAACAAATAACACTCCTATCGGTTCCTCTTGATTTCCTTCGGCAAATTCATTGCTCATGCCTATTAGTCTCACCGGCGGGAAAATGTTTCAACAAATGCAACAGCATTCTCCAGGGAATCAACAAAAGTGACTCTTTTGTGTCTTCAGATTTTGAACAAATCAACAACAGGAACCCACAAAATATAATATGATTACCAGTGAATGCTACAGTGTCTTCCGAAAGTCTTGTAATGCCTAAATAATATAATTTTCTATTTCAACGCTCTGTGGGCGTATTATCAAGAAGAGGTTATCATATGAACGATATCAGAATACACATCAGTTGAAGGACGCGGCTTAGAGGGCCTTTGCAACAATCAACAAAGCACATATCACACAGAACTTGGCGCCACATCATTCTGTGACACGAAAATGATGGTGTTCATACAGGCCCCCTCGATGTAGGACAAAGTCAATGAAAGTGAATAAACTGAATCCAGTACATGTGCTTTGTATTACTGTATTACCTGTTGTTCTATTGTTTTCATTACTTTTTACTAGGGGGTGACAAGACTTTCGGACCAGCCGATAGATAGATGATGGTGGTCCAAAAGTCTTGTTACCCATACGTAATATAATTTTCTATTTCAGACGACTGACATAAAAAAAAAAATAATGGTGTTCATACAGACCTTATCGATGTGTGACAGCGGCAATGAAAGTGAATGAACTGAATCCAGTACATAAGATTTGTATTACTGTATTACGTGTTCTCCTATTGTTCTAATTATTTTTTGATATGGAGGGGCAAGACTTTCGGACCAACATGTGCAGTGTTCAATTTTTTTATCCTTATAATGCAACCGTTATTTTCTTTATTATTTTATTTTACACAAATGTTTACCCAGTACTCAAGAGCTACTAAATGCAGAAAGTTACCAGTTGTGCTGAGTGGTATGGACGAAAGAGGAGGAAGAAGGAAGCAAAAATAATTCAGATCAAGAGGACAGATAACGACTGGCTCTGCACATGATTAGGTTAAAACGTAGGGATTATATCTCTTTGCTTAAGAACTGTCGAGATGATAACAAGTGTGTAACTTCCCTCCTTGATAGGACTTGTGATTTTACGGAGTGACTTACTCCCTTTTATAACAGGAACATTATCACTATTGTAACGTAAAACGCGCGCGCACACACACACAAATACAAACCAATACACGCAAATGCATATATAAAATTTTAAGACATTTTTTTATGTTTATACATTCTTTTTATAGATACAAATATTTAAGTAAATTAAGTAAATGTTCTGCATATTTTCTATATGAAAATTTCTCTGGCATTCAGGCGGGTAAATGTCGTTAATACTGTTTATTATAAGTAGAGCATTTACTTAAATATTTGTATATATAAAAAGAACGTATAAACATAAAAAATGTCTTAAGATAATTGTCGAAATTTGTCCATTTCATATGTGACGTCATATATAAAACTGTTTGAAATTATAATACAATTTTTTATGCTTTCTCTGCAATGTGCACATTAATGTTTCCTGTTTTTTTATCTTCGTAAAAATAAGACTAAAATTCTCCTACCACTACTCCTAAAGTGTCAGTGAAAACCCGGAAAGATAACAGTTTTCAAAGAATTAGGTTGTTTTTTTTTTTCACAAAATGAAAGTAATCATATCTTCCATAGTATGAATATCTTTTCTGTTTGTTTACATCATTAATTTTTATTTATTATTAATCAAATTAAAAATCACAAATTAATATTAGGGAAAATATGCATAAAAGAATTGGAATCGTACGTAAATGAATAGCCGTTTCACTTTCATTATCCTTACCATTATAATAGTTACTTTTTCACCTGGAGACTAGGTTTTCACCGTCTTACTATTGAACTAGCTACAGGTAACCGTGTGTTCTATTCTAATAACAGCTTTTCCCGCCTGTGGAAATCCCTTCCGAGTTTTTGCTTCCCTGCCGCCTACAATCTTCAAAAATTTAGACGAATGGTCAGTCGCCATCTTTTGTCTTCCTGAGACCTGTTCTTTTTGTCCTGTCTCTTCATTAAAGTCTTCTCCTTATCTATCACTTCCAGAAACCCTTTGCGTTCTAGCCTTTCTTGGGGTGAAATGAGTTAAAAAAAATGCTAGTATTTTTTCTCAAATTCTGTATGGCTTGTCTTTTTTACATCTTGTTCTGTGATGTCAGCGAAGACTCGTCACTTTCGTAATGCTCGTTGTAGTAGAGACTCTGTAATCGCAGATATAACTATAGTACTCCGTTGAACAAATACTAGTGTCAGACGCCTTTGAATAACACTCGTATTAATAGTACTTGCTCGATAATACTCGCTCGTATAGTAATCCGTAAAATGATCTGAATAGAGAAATAGTATAGTGAAGAGAATAAAGAACAGCGGTTCGTATAGTATAGAGGATAGACTAGGAATAGCGATCAATTAGACATCACGCGACTTCCTACTTTGGTCACGTGGTCTACCTAATTCAATAATGCGATCGCCTGTGTTTGCTCACTGGCGGTCTATGTTCAAACTCAAGTGTCGTCAGCGACACTTTATTGCTATATTATATCTTGATATGCCTTTGTTATTTTAATTATTTTCGC